GAATTGATAGTGAAAGTGCGCTTCGCTCATTCTGGCCAGCAATTGGTTAGCAAATTGCTCTTGGAAAGGTACGGCACCCCTGATTACCATATTTTTGTACATAAATACATGTAGACTGTTGTACATGAATGTGTGTGGATTGTTGTACATAAAAAAAAATAAGACCTACCCCGAAAATAAGACCTAGTGTGTTTTTTTGAGCCCAAAAAATATAAGACAGTGTCTTATTTTCGGGGAAACACGGTAGCACAGAAGAAACACTATAAATCGGTTTCTAAAATTTCCTTTCGATGTTCTTTCTTAGGATGTGTCTTGCTTGTGTCTTTGGATCATATTTTCCTGCCTAATTTCATGCCAGTGATGTCATCAGTTATTAAGCATACTGTATTGGGCACACACCAATTTATCTATATTTACCTACATATCTGTCACTCGGTCATATTTAAAGAAAACCGGTTTTAATTTGTTAAAAAAAATTAAAAAGTGAACACTATATGACATTTTTAAAAAGTGAAAGCTTAAGACTGGGACCCTCATTTTTATTTGAGGACTTAAATCACTGACCATACAGTGTGTTCTGAATGCAGGCAGAAGCCCATCTCAATAAGTCAGGTACTGGATTCTCCTCTGCATTCAGCACCCAGGGGATCATCACCCAGCAAAGTAAGTCCCTCTGCCCACATTTATGAATCCTTGCTTGGGGAACAATGTGTACTATTAGTTTCATTTATAGTGACTATTTACTCTTCCTACAGAAGTTTAAATTGTAGTTGCACTTTGTTAAGTTTTGTTTTATGCATTGAATAAACATGGACTTTACCAGCTATTTCAGAGGTCTATTGGGAAGTGATTTCCCTATGGCATGGAACAAGAGATGTTACAACAGCTTTTGTTTAATGGTTTAATTGTGATAAATGTAGTTGTGTCATTGTAAATGTAGTTCTGCTTCCAATTTTAGCAACAAATTAGCAAGAATGGTTTAGACAGGATATCTGAAGCTTTTGTCAGAGTAATGAAAGTGGAAAGAATTTCAAATTATAGGCACAGGGAACGAGTGCTGTTCTTTATACTAGTAGGTTATAATTCTAGTTTAATAGGGAAATGGGGAAGGAGGAGATTTCAGATGTGTAAAAAATTGAGCTGCTCAAATAGCCTTCATCTATTAGATTGTTATATAGAGTAAAGGGCACACTCAAGATGTGTCTTTTGTAGTGTTCTCAAGTAATAAATAATTTGCACAAAGGGACAAGGGAATACGTGATCACTAACTGGCCTGTTGCCTAGGTACTGACCTGCACCTGTGCTTAACTACAAACACTCATTTAATCACTTTTTACAATAAATATGAACTAATCCAATAAGTCAGGGCACAGAGCAGTCAGTAACTCATAACCCTTAGATGTCACTTAGATGTACTTTAAAAGGAAAAAAAACTGATGTGTTGCTATGTGCTGCTGCATTTCGATCATCATTGCTCATTTAACTGGCTTATTGAAGCTTAGTGGTCAACTGAGGAGTTGCTGTGGTAAAATATAAGAAATCTCAAACAAAGAAAATGTAGACTTAATTAAACCTCAACTCCAGATATAACTTTTTTGATACAACAGGAAAAGGTTAGAACTTAGAGTTCTATAGGTCTCTGTGGCTGGAGGTTGCCCCCGTCAGGGTGGTTAAGAGACAGAAATTGATATTTCCAATTGGGACAAAGATGTCCACATGTAAATATCATGCTACTCTAAGTACACCTGATTAATGATATCCTTTTGTACCTGCCTTACCCCTTGTGTCATTTTTAGTAAACACTTTGCTAGGATACTCAATTGGCATTCTGCCTGCTTTGTATACAGATGTACTGCTCAACTGTTCAGAGTGCCAAACAAGAGAGTAGAGATGGCTTCAATTTTCCTAAACTAGAAAGACCCTTTGGACTTCTCTAAACATGCCCTGCATTCTCTTCCCACTATAGTTCATATGATGAATTTTGCCATAAATCCCGCAGGGAAACAAAATTAGAAAAAAAAAAAATCACAGTTTGGAAATTGAGAGAATGGGTGCTACCCCCTTTAACCCTGCTACCCTAGGCACTGGCTGTCACTATACCACATCTGGGTATCTAGTAAAACTGATGTGACCAAATCTCTTGACTGCACCAGAGGACACTGAGTCCAGACTAAGTGACAAATAACAGCCAACCCAAGTACAGTGTGAATACGAAGAAACTAAATACAATATGTACATAATCCATGAATGATCAGGAAATAATTAAGCAGGGAAGGCAGCAGAGGGAAGAAATACCAGGAGAAGCCAAATCAGGAGGGTCACAGGAATCAGGGTCAAAAGCCAGATCAGGAGGGTCACAGGAATGAGGGGGAGCACAGAAATTGGGGTCAAAAGCAGGATCATGATCTGGTTCAAGATAACAGGTTACAGGTCTGCAGGCATTGAAACAGACAAACTGAAACAATGCTGAGGCCAGGTGAGCTTCCCGAGGAGGAGTTTAAATACCCTCCAAGCAGCCAGCTTTAGGTGGAGATTAACTGCTGGCTGAGAGACATCCTCTGGTGGGCACTGGAACTTCAAGCTTCAGATACAAGCACTACAGTGACACCAGCAGGTGCTCTGGTTCCTGACACCAGCCCACTAGTTCTGCATGGTAAATACAGCCTAGCTTCCATAAGCTTTTGCAGTCTGTGCCTTCCTGTCCTGGTGACCCTTGTGTACTGATAAAAAGGGAGGAAAGAAAAATTGCACATAAGTTCTAAAGTCTTGTACCCTATTCAACCACAGAATAATAAAGCTAGATATGGGTATTCATTTTTGACGTAAGCCGGAGCGATTCTATAGTTGCTATGTATTACTGACAACCCTAAAATGATGAGAAGTGAAATCGGCACATTATTACTGCACATCACTACTTTTTAAAGAAATCTTCCTAAAGTTTATGTCCAGTCTGTGTCCCTGTTGCAAATTTCCCTTACTTCCTATATAGTAAAACTGTTTTCTATGTGACTAAGTGAAGGAAAAGGCTCTCTACTGGACCCCAAATAGCTGTAAGGTCTCATCACAAATCGAGCAGTTATATGCGTCTAGGGACAGATGAGCAGCCCCTGGATGCAAAGTTTGCTACCAAGGCCATTCATCTGTTCCTAGCTACATGTAACTACTCAATGTGCAGTAACATGTGGACACCCACAGTTCCAGTCAGCTTGTCATTGATTCGTACAGGTTTCCTGGCTGTGGCTGTTCACAAAAACCTGTGATCCCAGATGCAGAAATTTGCTGATTGGTGGCATAGAGTCCTAATTGGTTGTGTAAATAAGGCCTAAATCCAGAGGTTTTAAAGATTCCCTAAAAAGAAAAAATTAGCTGAACTTACATTTAGGACCTATAAATGGCATCATATATGCAACAACCTACTTTATGTATAAACAAAAGTCTCTCTAGCCCATTTCACATTTTTGGAACCCATATCCTTTTTTGTCCACAACTGTTAAAAATAGCTTCTGTATGCTAAATGGCATACCATCAGACCGAACACCTTTCCATTAAATTATTCCGTGCAGGTTTCCTTTTGTTACCATTAAAAAGGACTCAGACAGTTCTCGAATGCCCAAATAATTAATCAGGCTGATGTCACAATTATTAATAGTTAATGCATCATCTGGAAAGTGTATGTGTTCACTGCTGCATATGTATCCTAACCATGTGTAGAAACATAACTGAGTGTCAGATTCATTCTTTTGGCAATATATGATTGCTGAAGGTTCCATGAAGACTGATTAAGCACAGTACCTGGCCAGTTAAGCCTTTTTAAGCTGAAAAAATTGGTCTCAAAAGCCAACATCTGTGTGTTCAAAATGTATATAACACTTTATATAACTATATGGATGTGCGAGTGATACTGTGATGCAAGAAACACAGAAAAAAGAATAATGGCTTTCCAAAATCAAGATTGCTTCCCTACACATGTGAAAACTGCCCCAACTTTGGCTCTCAGAGCTCTTCAGACTGAGAACACACCTATACTTTGAAGGGACTAACGCTTGAAAACATAGAAATGCAAGCATAATGATTTTCCTATGTGACAAGAAGGAATGACAATCCGCTTTCTAATGTTTGTTAAGTTTGTACAAAACCCATTACAGTGTTTTTAAACCTGTCTTATCAGGAATCCTACCATCACAGTGCTGTTCACAGTTAATTTCAATAGGATGGGGAAAAATGTCCCCACTGCTGTAAAAAAGCTTGAACATCAAGAGCATGCACAAACTGAGTTTTCATTATTAGAATGTAACTGGTCAGTATAGCAGCACTGTGACCAGGTTCATCCTCACCAAGGTTTTAGTTGCATCTTTAACATTCTCCTTGTGTGTTTGTGGATTCCATCTGCAATCTAAAAATGTACTGGTAGGCCAATTGACTTATCTAAATTGGCTGTAGTACATGTTGGCACTATGTAAATTAGTAAAATAACTGTGTACAGCAGCTTTTCTATATTACCAAGCAGGACTCTATATCTTAATTTATATTTTTCTGATTTTGTAAAAGCAATCATACAGTCTTAGTTTCAGTTTACAGATCTTTGGTGCTATTAAAACTGTGTGCGCAAAAACACTGTGTAGATATTTTACTAAATTCAAAAGCAGATTAAAAAACTACAGTCATAATTGGTACTGTTCAAAAAAAGCCAAGCATCCCATTATTGATTCACAATTCAATACATTTTGTATATGAAAAAAAAAACACCCACACACAAATACATCTTTTCATAGATTTTGGTGAGAGCAATATCACTTGGAGGCAATCCTAGAGGAGCAGCTTTTATGAAGCAAGTCATTTTCTTTTAAATTAATTCTGCAGAATGGGGATCTCAGACAGGGAGAAAATGAATCTCTGTGACGGTCACACTTTGAACAGTGGAAAAACCATTATGTATCACCTTAAATTAAACCACATTACACTATGTGATGAGAGAGCATAACAGCTGACTAAAAGGATACCGTAGCTTTCCAGAGATGACAGGGCCAACATCTGCCATGGGCTGCCGTTATCAGGATAAGTGCTAAATACAATCTGTAACAAGTACCATGAACACGCAATTAGCAAATTATTTATGCACAGAAAATTAATTTTCAATGTAATCACCACTGTATAAACACTTCAACAATTGCATAGAAGGATGATAAAAAAAAAAAAAAAAGATAAAACCTGCATAAGAATACATTTCCTGTAATTTATCTACCCAAGTGCTATTGCTGATGTACTTTTGAAAATGCTTACCCTCCCAGATATCAAAAAGTCCTTACAGGGATCTCTAAACATTTTAACATAAATTAGGCAAGCAACTGCTACCATGTTTAAAATACATGTCCATTATTTTAAGCAATTCTGTCCCAATTTAAAAAAAAAAGGACCTGCCTGCAAAGAAAAGTTTAATAATGTATGTGTCCCATCTGAGCCATCTTTACAGTCTTTGAAGAGATAAGCTTACTGAAAATTCTTCTGCATGTGACACTTTCATGAGGTTTCTGTGGTTTTATTCACTGGCCCCGACTTCACTACAAGACACAGTGGTGATACAGTTGGCTAGTGGAGGACACAACACCACACAGTGGACCCGACATCTGACACTCTGGGAAGATTCTTCAGCAAGCTCATCTCTAAACAGTGAAGATTGCTAGCGTGGGAAAAAGGAACAGGTAAGTATTAAACCTTTAATAATGGCTTAGAACATGGTACCCATGGTAAAGGGAATGTATCATCACCTTCTTTACATTCAGAAACTACCTATAATCAAAAGCATTATAAATTGAATTTCTAAGGTACAATCATATGCATTTCAAACACCATCAATATAAAGCTGAAATATTTTATTTACAAGTCTCTCTAAAAATTGTAAAAAAGCTATATTAGGCTGGTACACAATTTCATTACACTGTGCTAAGCAGCTCCACAGAGACCTCACCAAATGATCAAAACAATAGATGTATACATTGTTTAATTGGAGAGAGCATGAACAGTTTTTTTTCTGCAGGAAAATGTAGATAATAGATGACAAAAAAAATAGCAGCCCTTTATTAAAATCCTACATCTCAGTCAGGTGTGTGCGACCTTTTATGACCGAGGGGATCGTCTACAGAGGGTATATCAAGGAATTGGCTCCTGTCTCAAATAGAACAATGGATATCCATGGCTTGGTTTTTAAATTATCTTGGACATCTATAGGCAAGAATACAGAGTCCACATTACTGTGCCCCTCTGGGACTCTCAGCCTTCTCATCTCAGCTGTCACAGGAGTTCCAGCACAGTGCTGTGCTAGAACTCCTGTATTGGCGGTGACAGGTTCAAGAATCTGTCACGTCCAAATGCAATAACACAGGGGCTGGTTAGCCACTGTGTGATAGCAATAAAGTTAAGTGAAAAGAAGTAAAAAATAATAAACAAATAAGAAATAACTAAAAAAAAAGTGATCGTAAAAAAATTAAATCAATAAAAGGATAAAAAATAAGGTAAAATAGAATAAGATAAATAAAAATTTAAAAACGTAAAAAAAGTGGTAAAGTAAAAAATAAGAAAAAATAAAATGTTTAAATATTTGAATATGTGTGTTTCCCTATTTTGCCTAAGGCAGGGATGCGGAACATTTTTTAAACCCCAGTGCCCAAACTAAAAACACAAAACCAAACTTATTTTAAGTATTGGCACATTGAGATAAATACATTATTTTGCATTGCAGTTTGGGCACTCGGGCTCAAAAATGTTAGCCATCACTAATATAAATTAATTTTTGTCAGCAATTTTCATTAAAGTTAAAAAAATCAAATAATCAGCTATCAGGTATGGGCCACTGCACAATGGGGCAAAGCCAGAACCAATGGGTAATTGCCAATGAAGTCTAGAAGTCTTTTAGGGGATGGGTTTTTAAAAAATCTGAAAACTTAGCTCACATATCCAGATCTCTGCCCTGTCACAGTATCCATCAATCAATACATATAATCCCCCTGGTTCCAGACTACTTTTCCCTTTAAGTCATCATGCTCCCTGTCCTAGAATGGTCCACACACACTGACTGAGCGTGTGTATATAAATATAAATAATAAATATATATATTTATTATTTATAGAAGTCTTTTTAAATTTTAAATAATTTTCAAATAAAGGACTAGTCAGTTTAACAGAAAAGAGAAGCTCACTGTAAAGGAACGGTAAGCAGAACACTTGTGTAAAGTTAATTTCAAATAAAGTACAAATAAGAAATGTTCAACAAATTCTTTTCAGGAAATGTTAGCAAATAACCCCTGTCCAAAAAGAGAAATGACTGCTGCATAATTCCATGTTTTAGTTATATGGCCTGTAAGTGAATGCCCTATCACTGGACATTTCAAGTGTATGTAAAGCCAAAACATTTCTTGAATAAACTGATGAGATGGTTAGACACCTTTTTTTTTTAAGTGGCTTGGGTCCCCATTAGGAAGATTCACCCTGTCCATCTGTCCCAGTGGCCATAGTCACTTAAACTAAACGTGATGGAAATGTTCAACAGAGCAGGAATAGGAGGGGGAAATCGATCATTGGGGACACTTGTTTTGATGATGGCTTTCTAAAGAAGGAATTTAAATCACTTTAGAGAAACTTTTTCTCACTTCCTGTTGTGTATATAAGAGAATGTAAAGAGAAATCTCTTGAATGGGAAGCAGAAAGCAAAAAAAAAACCAGATTTTTTTAACCATTTCCTACTTTATTTAAAATCAGAAAAACATTTTGGTTTTGCTTAAGATACACTTTAAAACAATCACACTGCCTGTGCTGAACCAAGTATCAGGGTGTCTTCTTCCGTGACAGATTCACGTAAAATGATGAACACACTTTTACAGCTCTTCCCCCCCCCCCCACCCCTCCGTTGGGGTGGGGGTGAAAGAGCAAATCTGTAATATATTGGTTACCTCATAGAGACCTTTTGCAGTGTGTCTTCACATTTCTATATTATGCCTAAGGCAAGAAGTCCTAAACATCAAAGAAAATCAACATGTTGTCAGGCCTTCCTTTAAACTATGCGACGTTGGACTGTGCATGCACCAGGGGCAAAGTGAAGGAGTAGGCAGATTTTAAAGAAAGGCTTGTGATGCTGGGCAGGATGAACAGCAAAGATCTCCTTGAAGGTTTGTTTCAGGTAAGTAATATAATACAAGCTTGCCTAGAATGGCAACTGTTGCTAAAAGAAAATGATGCCTTTAAAACAAATCTTCAGGATTTTAGGACCGAAAACATGGAGGCTAACTTGGCTACTTGGTTTGTAAGTGCATGCTCATTCATATCATTCTTCCACTGCTTGCTCACTGGCCAGGACAAGCATATGCATATTGGGTGTTCCATCATTTCCCAGGTGTGAACATGTTCCAGGTCACTAAATCACTATCACTAAATCACTAGTAGACCAAGGATATGTTAGGCACCCTAAAAAAACAAATAGCAATGGCGGATCCATATTTAAATTAAGCCACTTTCATGTACCTACATTGTACAATCCCTGCTGCTACTCTTGTTGTATCCTGCCCATCCAAGTCTAAATTGATGAAATTACACTTATGCAAACACTTTTTTGATGAATTGACCCACTGCACCTATGGGCAGCCAAATATCTAACTGCTTTGGACAAAACTGTTACTTATCCACCTAATTAAGCAATTTTTATTAGATATTGACTACAAAAATGTTTAACTTTGTTGGTGCTAATGACCACCAGAATGGTATAAAGGCCAACATTTATACAAGGTGCCTGTTCTATTGCGTTTTTAAAAATGACTAAATTAATGTCATCAATGTCTTAGTATGTTATTACAGTACATATACTCCTTTTGAAGACACAACAGAAACATAATGCATACATTTTAAATATTTAAGTAGATTGTGAACCCTAGTGAATGCAAAGCAAAAAATACTACTCAGGAGCCATTATTCCAAGAGAGCAAGGCAAATTAAATGTCAACTGTGATTTCAAGTCAACGGTTTCAAACAGCAAAAAGGTGCTTCAGGACATAGGTAATGTTTGCAAATGAGACACTCACCGAGCAGGCAACTACAATGATGAAGAGTCCGGTAATCTTCAGGTTTTTTAAGAAACACCTTGACAGAAGAGAATTCAACAGGGATAAAAATAATCAAGACTAAAAGAGAATCCACTGATGAGCAGTAATTTCACTCCCTTACATCTTCTGCATTTATATCAGGCAATCACCTGCTCAATATTTTCTCATTAACTGTGTTTTCATCTTCACAATAGACACATTACATTAAGCCTCCTCTAAGCAGGTTCCAATGTGTTGATGCTTCTCTCCTACTTACAGCCAGCTTATAGCCACTGTGTGCCATTAAATGGTTCTTTTCGTACAATTAAAGTAGCTTGATATTGTATCTACTAGCTATACAAAGAAATCCTTTGAAAGATGAGACAGCATTAATAGATTACAAGCTTTATATAACTTAAATTAACTACTTTGGCTTAAATTGGATTTCCACCATTGCATCCAAACTGGGGTAACACCTACTTTAAATGTGTTACATATTCCCATTCACATGGTAGAACTTTAAAAAAATAAAAAATGTTGCTTACCTTTTTACTTGCTCTTTTCTTAAAGCTCCAAAACTGAAGTAATGTTTTGAAGGTCTGGAGAGCAATGCTTACCATAATTAATGCTGTCTGTACAGAGTTGGCGGATCATTATTAGCTCAAGGACTGGGTGGTACATTGGGTTTGATTTACTAAAGGCAAATAGGCTGTTCACTTTGCAAGGGAATTTGCACTTAGCAGGGGAAGTTTGACCACATTTACTAAGATATGGGAAACGTGCCCTACAAAGTGCAAATTCCCTTGCAAAGTGAACAGTATTTGCCTTTAGTCAATTGACCCCATTGTATGTTAATGCGCACTTAAACCAAGCTGTCCCTAAAGTTATTCTGAATAAAAGCTACCTATAGCTACCTAACTCTATTATTCACCCTTTCCTTAAACAATAAACAGTAGAATCCATCATTACACAATGTTAGCTTTACTGCACACCCACAAGAAGAAGAAACTAAAAGGTTTCAGTAAGAATGTGAAGTGTGAAACCTCAGTTTACTATTCTTGGAAATTAGCAATTTAATAATCTAACTGCTAAAAACATTATAAAATGCATTCATGTTAAATATGTTCTGACAGAAATACATAGACCGCTATTGCTAACATTTCATTCTGCCTATCCTGCTAATCCAATGGCTTCGGTAATTTCTCAGTCACTAAACTTGGTTAATCATAAGTTTTGTCTTCTCTGGCTGAGTGTTATAGGTTAGTGCCTCCAAGTATTGAAACCAGAAGAATTCATACAACTAGCATTTTTTAGGAGGACAGCAAGCAGGCAAACTGCATTTTCAAAGGGTCTGCAACGGTAGCCAAAATATTTCTCAGTATGGGTTTGGCAAGTGTGATCTAAAATTCTAGAAATTTTTCCAAAACTCATGAATAAAAAAACAAACATTTTGTAAAAGTTAAACTGCCTTCTGAGTATCTAGCATTCAGTAGAGCTTGTTTCTCAAGATTGCATTTATTTACGGAGTTCCTGATTAATGTGCATCATCTCAATGCTACGGGTTTAGCACACCAATATAAGCTCAAGGTAAACAGTCAGTGTTGGTTTTATGCAGTAATCTAAAAGATTGTTGTTGAAAAGGTTAGATTATTAAAACTGTGAAATTTTATTTATGCAAGATTTATATTTTCCTCCTTATTTTGCTACACTTTGACAGTTGCTGCAATTGCAATTCCCTGACCCTTAAAGACTGCACTCAGTAGTTGAAGCTTAAAAATGCACCCAAGGTCCCTAACCTTTAACAAAAACTATCTTATTTGAGTATCACTCAGCTGTAGATCATCAAATCATCCCTGAATTGGTGCTGACACTTTTCACCAATTTAGTTGCGCTAGGATAAAGTATTAGGTGCTGACACTGTCCTTTCTGGAGGGTGGCTACTTTTGCTCCCCATGGTCCCTGTATGTGTTGGAAAAGTAGCCACCACTCCAAGCTCACTCCCATGATGGACTACAATCTCAATACAAATTAATAAACTAATTGTGAGATTGTAGTCCTTAACAGGAGTGAGCTTGGAGCGGTGGCTAGTTTACAACACACACACACACAGGGGCATGGGGAACAAAGGTAGCCACCGTCCAGAAGGAAGGACAGTCTCAGCACAAATTTAGGGATCATTTAAGGATCTAAAGCTGAGTAATACACAAATTAAGCTACATTTTTGTTAATAGTTAAGTTATTTGAATGCATTAAGACAGTGCATAACAATGTCAAGTAAAGGCATCTTGAATTTAAAAGGAGTTGAGAACCTGAGTAAGCTCAGGCAGTGGACAAGGCAACAACTAACTTCAAGCAACCCATGACCTCTGGCATGCAAGCTTGGTTCAAACACAAGTAAAACTAAATGCACAGTTTTAATAATTTTAAACTTAAAAGTGAAATTAAAGTCCGATTCCCCCCAATGCTGCTTTACGTACTTGCCTTATGTGATGCCTTTTTTTCAAAAAATTTTCTTCCTTCCACTGGTTTCCAAAAGTCTCTCCAGCACTGGTGCTGCTCTCTAAACCAGGGCAGACTCTTATGTCTTCTGTGTCTCCTGAGTCTGTCCGGGGTACACGCCGCCGGCTGCATGCATTCTCCTACACTGTGCCTCCTCCCCCCTCCTATAATATCGACTGAGCAAGCGCCACACACACTTCCACCTGCACAGCCATTCGGGAAGTTGGATTCTACAGTCGGGAGCAAGCGTGCAGGCACAGGTACGTTTTTACCTATTTGGCAAGTTTTCTTCCTTTTTTTTAAATGTTTTTGCATATATTTACTGCTTTCTAGCAGCAGATATATGTTAAAAAAACAAAACACCACTTTAGGTATTCAGGTTCTTCCCTAAGCTCTCCAAGTTAAACAAAAACCAAAGTCATAAATAGTTAAACAATGTGTATTTGAGTCATACAGGTGAAACTCGATTAGAATATTGTGCAACAGTTAATTTATTTCACTAATGCAACTTAAGAGGTGAAACTAATATATGAGATAGACTCATTACATGCAAAGCAAGATAGTTCAAGCCGTGATTTGTCATAATTGTGATAATTATGGCTTACAGCTCATAAAAGCCCCAAATCCACAATCTCAGAAAATTAGAATATTGTGAAAAAGTGCAATATTCTAGGCTCAAAGTGTCCCACTGTAATCAGCTAATTAAGCTATAACACCTGCAAAGGGTTCCGGAGCCTTTAAATGGTCTCTCAGTCTGGTTCAGTAGGAATCACAATCATGGGAAAGACTGATGACCTGACAGTTGTGCAGAAAACCATAATTGACACCCTCCATAAGGAGGGAAAGCCTCAAAAGGTAATTGCAAAAGAAGTTGGATGTTCCCAAAGTGCTGTATCAAAGCACATTAATAGAAAGTTATGTGGAAGGGAAAAGTGTGGAAGAAAAAGGTGCACAAGCAGCAGGGATGACCGCAGCCTGGAGAGGATTGTCAGGAAAAGGCCATTCAAAAGTGTTGGGGACTTTCACAAGGAGTGGACTGAGGCTGGAGTCAGTGCATCAAGAGCCACCACACACAGACGGATCCTGGACATGGGCTTCAAATGTCGTATTCCTCTTGTCAAGCCACTCCTGAACAACAAACAACGTCAGAAGCGTCTTACCTGGGCTAAAGAAAAACAGACCTGGTCTGTTGCTCAGTGGTCCAAAGTCCTCTTTTCTGATGAGAGCAAATTTTGCATCTCATTTGGAAACCAGGGACCCAGAGTATGGAGGAAGAATGGAGAGGCACACACTGCAACATGCTTGAAGTCCAGTGTGAAGTTTCCACAGTCTGTGTTGATTTGGGGAGCCAGGTCATCTGCTGGTGTTGGTCCACTGTGCTTCATTAGGTCCAGGGTCAACGCAGCCGTCTACCAGGAGATTTTGCAGCACTTCATGCTTCCTTCCGCAAACGAGCTCTATGGGGATGCTGACTTCATTTTCCAGCAGGACTTGGCACCTGCCCACACTCCTAAAAGCACCAAAACCTGGTTCAATGACCGTGGGATTACTGTGCTTGATTGGCCAGCAAACTCGCATGACCTGAACCCCATAGAGAATCTATGGGGCATTGCCAAGAGAAAGATGAGAGACATGAGACCGAACAATGCAGAAGAACTGAAGGCCGCTATTGAAGCATTCTGGTCTTCCATAACACCACAGCAGTGCCACAGGCTGATAGCTTCCATGTCACACCGCATTGAGGCAGTAATTGCGGCAAAAGGGGCCCAAACCAAGTACGGAGTACATATGCATGCTTATACTTTTCAGAGGTCCGATATTGTTCTATGTACAATCCTTGTTTTATTGATTGCATGTAATATTCTAAATTTCTGAGATTGTGGATTTGGGGTTTTCATGAGCTGTAAGCCATAATCATCACAATTATGACAAATCACGGCTTGAACTATCTTGCTTTGCATGTAATGAGTCTATCTCATATATTAGTTTCGCATTTTAAGTTGCATTAGTGAAACAAATGAACTTTTGTGCGATATTCTAATTATTCGAGTTTCACCTGTATATAACAAACAGTGGCAAAACAGAGAAAATTAATTTTGATTGAACTAATCTTCTTGAGCCACCATTTCATATGCATTCCTCTAAATGTTGGTGTAATCTATTTAGGGGTCCCCAGCTCCTTTACTTTTTTTGTTGAATATAATTTTCCTTACTTAGTAACTGCACCTATTAACTGCAGAAAAATGTAATAAGACCATGCACATCCTTTCTACTTACTCAGTTAATTAGGCGCACACACAGTGCATGTGCTTAAAAAGGCTCAACACAGTTGAAGAACCATTGATCCAATATCTGTCACAGTGGCCTCAACTGCCCCTTATAATATAAAATTATACCCATCTTGAGAAAAATATGGGAGGCGATAACTGCAGTCATGTTTTGGAAAATGCAATTATATCCTGATTGTACCTGGATTTAGTACTTCTTAAATCACAGACTCAGACAAGGATGCAGCAAATGAAATTGTGGAAAAGCCAGACATTCCTTTCTACACTTATTCCTGGCTAATGACTTAGGAGTTAGTGAAGCCAAAACATCAGTTCAAAAGCCTGCCTACTGTTACTTTCAGGTCCGCATTATCACCCTACATTCTTCTCTCACAATGACTGTACTTCAAGTCAGAATATTTGATTAAAGCACTGGGTTTCATCAATCAACTATATGTATGAACCCAATTCAAACTCATTCCAACTATTTCTTTCCCTATGCAGGTCTGAATCTAAATGGTTGAAAATGCAGACACTATGTTAAATAAAGCTGGCGTTAATTTTATCAGAACTTCTAATAAGCTATACTTCAGTTCAAAGCAGGTTCAGTGTATACAAGAACAAGCACATAGCACATGTGCTAGTCCTGTAAAAATAGAAGAGTGCCAGACAAGTTCTATGCCTATACTGTAACCTTACGGTTAAGGACAAAACAATGTAAGGCTGAGCATTAAACATTTCGACTGCGCTTTTACTCCAACATAACATTAATGAAACCAGAAAATCATATTCTGAAGCATCAGACTATGGCAAGGATCTTACCTTAGCTTAGAAGAGCTGAATTTATCTTGAAGGTTGTCCAAGAGTTCATATTTTTCATATTTTTCTGATGAAGCAGATCGAGAAAGGCTTCCAACTTCACTACCAAGTCGGCATCTCTGCTCAAATTCTGAAGAGCTTTTCTCCAAAGATTCACCACAGACAAATTCTGGCCTGAACAAAGTTATATAGCATCCTTAGAAGGCCTGTTGCAAAGTTCAGTCAAAATCCTCTTTACTATGTTAATTATTTTTAAAATTTGAAGAAATACAGGAATACATTTAAAAAAGTATGATTTATCAAGAAACCTTAAACAAAAATGAGCAACTACAACAGAGAGTACACATAAAAAAAAACAAAAAAAGCATTCCAATGGCAAAATTAGCAAGTTTATACTAAACAATCTTGTCAAGCATATGAAACCACTAAAAATAATTAAAAATAAAAAACACACTTTGCATAGTGTTACAAGAACACCACTGATATAAACTCTCAATCCATTGCACTACAAACGTATTGGGCTCCACTCAGCATATTGCACTAAGTATCATGGACACCAAATATAGAACCAGTTATACTTTGGCTTCTTTTATAATTATACTATCCCTTACATATATTTCAGTAGAATTGTAGAAATGTCACCAGCACACCAGTCCTTTTAGGATAGCAAAAGCTTAATTAATTGTAAGTTCTTTGTCATATGAACAACACATATATTTCAGTCCCCACTAAACTAAAAAATACATTTGCAGCTTTGTTTTAATACAAGAGAATTAGTCAAATCCGCGGCAAGGTCAAGGGCTTGAGACTAAACTAAATGGTCAGTCTAATTGCATGCTACTGACTTGTTGACATCAATAGGAAATAAGGGTTGCTCTCCAGCAAAATGTTAGAGTCCAATTCCAGGCACAAGGAAAGAAAAATCCTTTCAACACTAATCCCCCCCCCCCCCCCACAACCCCAAACCACCCCATAGGGTTAAGTGCT